AAGAGTATGTCGATTCCCATGCGTATGGCTTCCTTGGATTGATTTCCTTGTGCTTGGTTTGTTTTTGTCGATGTGTTCTAGGATTGCACCAATCCTCGTTACCTGGCTGCAGGTTCATCCAATGCTGTCAAGCTAAGCAGGTTTTTTGATAAGGTAAGTCAAGTCACTTAAATTGTGCTTTATTGTTCCATGTATTGATTGAACACTGTCTGTGATATGAACATGGAACAACAGTTAGCTGCTCCTTTCACGTTCCATTGTTTGAGTTGGTTCAAGCCAGATGTGGGGAGGCCAAAGATTGGTCTGCTTTTGGAAACCTCCAGAAAACAGCTGATCTGCTTGAAGGTTTGACCTGCATATTGCAGTGAAAAACAACTCATAAATGTGCGAAGACACTCTGTGTATGCTTTGGAGTCCTTTGGCAGGCCAGAGGGCTTGCAGTGTGCTAAGGTAGTAATGTGGGGAGTTACAAGACTGTAGTTCGCTCTGTTGCTCCTGGTTAAAGCAAACCTTAGGAATTAAGAAATCTGGCATATTACTCTTCCTTCCTGCACAAGAGAGCATCAAGGCCTACTGTGAAAATGACAGAGGGATTGCTCTGGTTTAAGCATACCCTGGACAAAGTGATCATAGTGGAGCAGATCACCTCCTGTAACAGATTTTGAGAAAATGCTTTTGAGAAAATATGGCCTGAATTTTAATTGAAGGAAGTTGTAGATTTTACAGGGTGATACCAATTGCCTTTTGATTCTTGGATTGATGGTACTGCCTCCATAGATATCCTTCAGCACAGGCAGTTTGTGCATCATCCTCAGAGAGTGAGCTAGGCTACCTCTTGTCAAGCATCACCTCTGCCCAGGGGCTACTCAGAACTGTGGGAGTTGTTTACGCACCTGCAGAATGAGCTTTTCCTGGTGCTCAGAACTGCTGTGCCTGCAGAGGGGGGTGGGAATAACTCATGCAGTCAGGAGACACCCAAACTACCACCTCCATTACTGAAGAGGGCTAACTAAATTAGATATGTAGAAGTTGAGGATAACGCAGCTTTACTAAGAGTGGCTGGAGGTGGCAGCTCCTTCTATGTGTAACAGAGCTTTGCACTTAAAGCAATAGGCCTGGAGCGGTAGATGTGGGTTCAGACCTTGTCCTAGTTAGCCAGGAGTTTCAATGCTCACATGTGAATTGTTCATTGGAATCCGAGGTTATGCATACGCTGTGCCAGCTAAGATCATTCTCTGTTTTTCCCAGGTCATAGAGAAGAGATACTTCTTAAGAGATGGCAATCAGGTTTGTTATTTTTCCTCCTTTTTTGCTTTGTTTCTCCCCATGTAATGTGAACTGCTGACAGACTCCTCTTCAAAACATGGGCTTCATGTGACATAAAGATAATCTATGCTGGTAATTGAGTTTTTAAATCTGTGGGAGCAGAGCTGTTTGGAATAGACAGAAAAATGGCTGACTCTTGTCAGGTGAAGTATTTTTCTGTAATGTGATTGGCAGTGAAATAATTAAGTATGCTAACACAGTAGCAGTTAGTTGTAAGAGTCAGGTAGAATGGACAGATGTGATCTCTTTCAGATCTGTCAGCTTCAGGCTGCTTGGTTGCAGATTTAGGCTGGAGATGCTGTCCTGAAGGTCTATGAAAAGGGTTTTTTTGCACAGCTGGGACTGGCATTTTACGTTCTATACAGGTGGTTCTCATAGAACCAGTGGAGCCAGAAGGAAAATGGCAGTATGATACAGCTTGTAATTCATTCCTAAATGGCTGAATTAACTGTTTTCAGTACAGTTGGTGAAGAACTAGCAAAATGACTCTCCTGGGCAGGCCACTACAACATTTTTGTGCCACCCCTCCTTCGCATGTGCACTCTACTATGCGGGGAGTAGCGAAGTTTCACTTCTCATATCTCTCAGGTGCCTGCAAATTACCATGAATAGCACCACTGAAATATAATCAAATGTATCGTTAGATGTAGCTGTGCTGAAAGTCCCCTAGGGAGAGTGAGGGAAAAAATAGTCACAAATTACAAAATGCTTACTTTCTTTGAGCTTTTTTTTTATGCCTTTTAAAAATAAATTTGCTGCTGCTTCTTTCAGTTCTGCATGATGCCTTTTTCCCTTCCCTCTCCCCTCCTCTCCACATTTTAGTGAAAGGAAGTCTCCCTTTCATGGGGATAACAGCTTAGTGCAGAAATCTGCTTGTGTGCTGGTTGTCTTTGATGCATGATGTAAGATTTTTATTATTTGATCATTTTTAGTGGCTAGCCAGGGGTTAAGTTCATATTCCTTGTGGCCATGTGCCAAATTTTACAGCCTTCTGGTGACTACTTTCATCTGCCTCACTGAAACAGCTGAAAAGCTTAAAAAAAATCTTTAGCGGGCAGTCATATTTAGAGAGACAAAATCCAAATGGGAACTGGAGATTTCATTGTAACCACTTAATATTATTATTTGAAATTATCTACTTAATGTAAATCTTACAAATGTGTTTGTGGGTTTTCTACAATAGGTCTCTACGATCACTCGTGTTTTGAGGTATTTCTGTTATAGACTTCCTCAGGATGAAAAGAATGATAAGTTTGAAATTGTTTGTAGCTATGACTGATCAGATCTCTGATAAATAAATAATTGTTACTCTTAATTAGTGACTTTGATATAAAAAAATGCTAAAGTGAATAAGTTTTTAGCTATGGTGTCCTGCTACTTTTTAGTTACAATGATTGCATTTTTCCTTTTCGAATTCCCAAAAGAGTTTTGATGAGATGAACCTTTGTGCAAAATCTGCCTGATTTTTCCCTTAGAGATGATTGCTTTTCAGAAATGAACAAAACAATTCCTGAATGAATACCTTGCATATCTGTTTGAGTTTGGGGCCTGAAAACGCTAACTAAATTTGAATTGTGGGGGTTTTAGTGGATTTTTATTTTGGGTAAGCTCTTTAGCTTTCTCAGTTTACCAGTGAGGTGTGTAACCTAAGCAATCTACTTTGTATTGTAAATTACATTTTCGCTCCATACCATCCATATGTGTGCCCACGTTCTCCTGGCATGCTCGTTGGTAGTGCTTGGTTGACACCTTCCATTTTAATATACTGTATTTCCCATGAGAGTGTGGAATTGTTTTGGGAGGATGTGCTTACTGGGTCTGCTGTTTCTGCTTGTATGTAGTTAGATATCTAAAAGTTATTCTGGACTGTAATCAAATAGTTTTATGATGCCACCAATAGGACAGACATAGAGCATTAGAAATCAGCATACCACTTGCTTTTGGGGGATTCACAGGTGCATTAGACTGCAAATCTGAATTAAATACCCTTAAGCCAGAGCGGGTTCTCATGGTTTCAAGTAGATTTTCTTTGTAAGCATTCATTGTCATGGTGTAAGCGGTATCTACAGATTGGCTGCAAAAACAGGAGTGCTAATCCTTTGCATTGTTGCAGCCATTTCTATTCTGATGGTTTCCTTAAAGCTTTCAGCAACTGATAAAACTACTTTCAACTACCAGTGAAGTGCTGCCGTCTCAGGTTAGAAGGCATAAGGTCTCAACAGCTGTTTTATAGAACTTGGTAATAGTATTTAATAGTTAAAAATGAATTGAGGAGAAACTCTTGTCTGCATTTGAATCTGGAGGGAAAATACAGACTTTGAAATCTGTAATTAACTAGTTTAGGATTTGCCCAAGAAATTAAGGCTTTCGTGTAACCCTTGCCAAAAAGCTTTAAGGAGCTCTGCGGAACAAATGAGCCATACTCAAGTTTTGCATCTTCTTTAATTGACGGTGCTCCTCTAGCAGTAAGCTGAAGCATTTTAGTCCCAATTCTGGAGACGGCGTGGAAGAGGAAGGCGTTGTTGCAGTCGGCTTGGTAACAGGCACTCGAATGTGGGCCAGAGGGAGCTCATGCTGATTCTGACATGGCAACTTATCTTTCCTCTGTCTAGATTCCTGGCTTCTCTGAAAGGAAGAGGTTTGGAGGAGGAACGCTGAAGAGCCTTCATTATGATTGAAGACCGAAGAAGCGGAAGATGACTCCTCCGAGATGCTAATGACATTCCCATTCCGACTGGATCCTTAAAGACAATAATGCTTATGTCAAGCAGAGTAAAATGATACCATGCTGTGGCCGGGTAGACTGCTGAAGCTACTTTTGCTGGAAAAGACTTGGGGAAGAAATTCCAAAAATCTAATCTGAAGCCCAGAGTGTTTCTTAGTATTGCAGGCTCTCTGCATATATGGGAACATTTGGGGAAAATGTGCAATAAATTGAATGCCTCTCACACTGCTGTGGGAAACTTTATCATACGTAGCACATATATGTGACATCTTTGTTATCATTTTGGAAAGCTTACGGATGGTCTTTGCAATTATTTACATTCATCTTACCTGTAAAAGAAAGATGACACTGAGTGGGCTTCTCATTTACAGTAAAGTGAACAAAACAAGTGAGCAAAGTGTAAGGATGGGTAAAGAATGGTCTGGAAAATAATAGAATGCCTTCATTAAATGAATGGTGATGCTTCACCTGGAACACACTGTTCAGCCATATTCAAAAGGGATAAAAGAAATAGGCAAGAGATGAAAAAAGATGTGAAGCCTTAAAAAGAAAATCATGAGTAGAAAACAAGTGGTATTACTTCTGCTGCTTAAATTAAAATTGTTTACTTTGGAGAGAACAAAGTGAATCAGGTAATCCTGTTTATCTTTTCATAATTGAGTGTGGTCTTGTTCTTAATATTAAATTTAAAGGTGATGCATTGAAAGCTGATGGAAAAAGTATGGTTTTATACAGTGCTTATTTGGAACAAATGTGACTGAGAGCTTAGTGGATTCAGAAAACATGAAATGTAAGAACATCCTCTGAATTAGAATGGATAGAAATTTAAAAAGGATATAAAGCCCTGTAAGAAGTAGGAACTGAGCATGATTAGAAGAAAAGTTCTGTGATAGGGATGTTCCCTTTTCGTATTTAGTACTAAGATCTGATCTACTGTGCAATCTGTTGTCTTCCTAAATAGCCCAAGCTTTGCACAGTTTCTCACCTCCCCATAATTATATGGAGCAGTAAAAGCCTGATTTATGGCAGTTTCTTCTTTTCCCCTCCTTCCTCACCGTTACCTCTAATGGTTAAGCCTCTGGCAAAGGCAAACTAAGAGCTGGAGTTAGATATAAATACAAATTAATAATAAATGGGGTTAGAAGAAAGTAAAATGCTGGTGTGAAATTGACAGCAAGCAGAGTTCTGCAGTCTCCAGATTACATCTGCCTGCAGCTCTTCTCTAACAGCTGCTTGGAAATAAATGGAAAACTGCCTATTGCTGCTAATCAGGCACAAAAATGACAGCTAGGTTGCACCAGTCAAGCTGATTAAAAATATGGTTACTTTGCTTTTCCTTAGGCCATTTCCAGAAAGGTCTTGGAGCATTTGCAAACATGAGTGCAGGGAGTTTTTAGATGCCTGTATGAAATAGGTTATTAGTTTACATTTACTTTAAGACCAGGGAAAATAAGGTACCGAAATATTCATGGCAGGTAACCCATGTCTGAGCTAGGCAGCTCATGATGGCACCAATGTCTCTGCTCCTTTGGCAATGAAGGCTGGAGTTATTTTCATGAGGTCAGGTGCTGTCTTAGGGTAATCAAATCCGGGCTCCCTCCAGTTACCAAGGCACTGCAGAGCAGAACAAGCAAGCTAGGGCTATTTCTTCCTTCGCCCTATGGCTTCCTTAGGAGAATTGGAAGTGTTGTAGCGTAAGGGAGGCCGTTCAGTTTAAGATGCCTCATCAAGCAGTGGTGGTACGGGTCTCTGATTTGGAGGAAGCAACTATCCTAAGCAGCCCCCTTCAATTAATCAAAAAAGGAAGATTGCTCAGCGTGCAATGCTGAGGGTGACCTAAGCCCTAGTTGCAGCTTACCTGTGTTTGTGCATTTCACTCCTGAGGCTCCACAAAGAAGAAACATCTTCATGTGAGAAATCTTGTGAAGGTCAGCCCACGCTCTGGGAAGGGGAGGGAATGCATAGTTCCTATGCATCAGTGGGGCTGAAGGTGATGGCAGTCAGGATTTAGGAGCAAATTAGAAGAAGATAATGTTGTGATAGGAACGGGACAAGATACAGGGAATAGCACTGAGGAAAAGTAGAGCACATGGGCAAGCAGTAGAAGGCTAGGAGATTGAGAAAGAAGTTTGCTTGAGGCTGGGGCTCCTGCTCTGGGCTCAGCGAAGTCTGTCTGGACTCAGCCTTCCAGCTGCAAGCCATAAAACCCCTCCCAGGACATCTCCGTCCGCTCTTGAACTGACCTGCTGTGTGGGCTGAGAAGAGACTTCACGTTTAGCCTCCATGCTGCATCTGCAAAGTGAAGGAGGCTTCCCTGGGGGCAAGGCTCCAATGTATCTGTTTATCAAGTTGTAGTGCTTTCAATACATTGGGAATTAAATCTTTTTTTTTTTTTTTTTTAATGTTAGTCTGGGTGTTTAACTTGAAGAAAATTAATACCAGAGTTGTTCCAAGCTGTTTGTGTTGTCACAATATTTATTCTGATACCGCCAACCTTAACTCTGTCCTACATAAACAAATCATTTACCTTCGATAGTTAGTTTTAATGCACTGATATCCTTTAGGTAGCTGTCATTTGCTTATAATTCTAAAGGGTAAAGGCTAAATTTCTGTCCTGTTCTCCATCAGTAGCCCTGAAAAATGTTTGCAGACCCATCTGACCAGGATCACAGTGCTTTAGCGTTCGTGTTCCTGGATCAGAATAGATTGCTTTATAAAACACCTGTGTGGGGTTTTCCATGTATTTTTACCTACTTTTCTTCTAGTATTTCATCAGGGTTGAGCTAAGGAGTTATGTTTAAATATAATCTTGAAATTTCATGGGTTTTCCATGCTTGGGTTTGGATAACTGCAGTATCCCTGTTTTGTAGTTTTCACATTTACGTGAGTGGCACACACTGTTGCTCTCTTGAAATGGCTCCATACAATTTTTGTTTGGAGTGGTAGCTTCTGTTTTCCTAAATGTAATGCCAAGGCAGAGTGGACTGATAATTACAAATAAGACGAACTATGGGAATTGGCAGAAGCTGTTGCAGGCACTGTTAACCTGCTGACTAGGTGTTAAATCTTTTTCGGTGCACCTTTATTTTGTTCAGAGGTAGCGGCTGCATACACAAGTGCCACCAGTTTAGCACCATATTTTGGTTGCACCCATATGGTTTTTGCATATAGAGCGAGAACCTCTCAGACCTGCTGTGGTGTGTATCAAAAGCAGGCGGTGGGGAATGACCATCCCAGTTCTTTTCACTGACTTTACCCTTACGCACTGCCCCATCCCTTCTGTGCTCCTGCTTTACTTCTGTCCCAGAATGTCTGAACATCGGGTTTAAATTGTCACCAAAAAAACCCTGTATTGATCTTTCTCCCAAATATTCATCGTCCAGCCAAACCCTGTTTGGTTTTGGGATCCTAGGCTTGAATGTAGTGGTTGTCCTACACCTCTGCTAATGTAACGTTGTGCACCCAACATCTTAGCTATTTTAATGGAAATATAGGTCTCCAGTCCAGAGGAAGTATCTTACTTGTTTAGATCTCAGCAGGTAACCACAATCATGTATAATTTTTCCTCTCAGGACAAGGTGATGTGTAACGGAGTCGTGGATGTTGATGATGTTACATTTATTTTTAAATGAAGTGCTGGCTTCTCGTCAGACCCAGGAGTATGTGAGTAGCCAGAGTCAGTTGCATTGCTGTTTGCACCTCACCTGTTTCACCTGCCCAGAAAAGGTTCACCTCCAATTTTGGGGCTGTGGCACCAAACA